CAGATGTCCTTCATAGCAATTTTACTTCAATTTTTTTTGCAACACCCACAAAAATGCAATTTTTAGGATATATCCTGCTAAAACAGATGTCAGTTGAAATTAAAATAAAGCAGTTTATCATAATTGTTTTTGCGGTCATACTATATTAATTTTGGTTATAAGTATTAAGTAAACAAAGGCCTCTTATTTACCATGAGTTGAATTTTTTGATTCTACAACAAAGTAAAATGGTATAAGTGACAGCTATTTTGGAGCTCGCCACATCTTCTCATCAGACTTCGTATGGCGGGGATCGAACCAACGAATCTTGACTTAACAGGCGAGTGCTCTACCATCGCGTCAACATCAGCCATATAATCTGTTGTTGTATTATTCAATTTCTCATTAACCTACAACTATTAAGTGCGCTAGTTTACTTACATAAATAGTTATTGTTATAGCTGATGTACAAAAGCACCAGTAGTACTTGAATATTCCAACATGGGAGAACGCTCACAGCTGTAATATGAACGAATTCGTTCATTTTTTTATTTTTTATTTTAAGAAATTAGAAAAGTATCCACGTCATAACGGAGAAAGAATTTTACAAATATTTTTTAATGAAATGTAATACTTATTATGTTTAATGACGTTTAAAGTTCCAACGAATATTCAATGAAAATGTAATTTATTGGTTTCCATTATGAATTTTCATAAACTAATTACCATAAGAAATATTTTGCAGTCTAACCCCTCGTCCCTCGCTTAGTTTCGTTTTTGTTTAATTATTATTTAAATAATAAAAGTTATTCAAAAATAGCAAACATTCATATTAAATTGCGAAAATGGAATAATTTAAGGCATTGTTCTTCTGTAGTAAATAATTAATTAAAAATATGCAAGAGGCGAACTAGTGGTTCTCTAATATGCCATACAAAATTAGATACCAGAGGAAAGGAGTTCGAATTGGTTACATTTGCTATAACATTGGCATGGCAATTTTCACCGCTGAATACAGTCATCAAAGACACAGTTCTTACTTTACCTCTCTACTTCAAAGGCCTAACAACTTCCTACTGGGCAAATATTTCTGCAAATATATTTATTTGTGCTTAAGCTGAAAATAATTGTAGCCCATATGATCAATTGGTGTAATTAAAAATATTTTTCTTTGTAGTGGATCAACTCACATCTTGCTGTCAGCTTATGGAGTAATTTTGTGGAATAGTTTCAAAACTAATTTCCTGAAGTAATCTATGAAGTACACGCATGCTATTCAGAGGTGGAGTATATGATCCAAAGGCCGGACTATAATATTTTGAATGGATTCTGGTTAGCTTTGGACTACTCTATGTAATCTTCACGTTGATTAAATTGAGGAGTAATCCAATAGGAATTCTAATGCACCATATAGTGAACAAATTTATGTATGCAGAGTCACTCATATACAAGTGAACTAGCACACAGATATTAATATTCTCGTGTGCATGCATTTAGCTTCGGCACACAAAGCAACTTATGTACAAGCGAGTAAAGCGAATGAAGTGCAGCCAAACGTGCAAACATAATTCATTTTTGCAATCATCGCAAATTTGCCAAAGAGCCAGAATAACATATATGTACATATACATATGTATGCAGGTATATGGATGAGAAGAGATTCACATATCGAACACAATGTTGCACCTAACGTGCATCCGCACTGCCATTGAAGCAAACATTGGACTTGATACTTCACCATTTTTAATATTTAAGAGATCTATGGACTGTTTTCATGGTCAAAAAAGAAGAATAAGGCTACGACAAACGTAAAAAAAATCGTTGTCACCTTGGCAGTAGAATTATATAAATAAATTTTTTCAAAAAATGCGGCTACGAGCAGGAAAAATAGTCTTGAAGCAAGTGGTTTGCTTTATAAACGTGTATAATATTTAATTATTGCCGACCGCGGCAGCCGAGTGGTTAGCATTGCGTACTGTCATTCGGAAGGAAGTATTCAAATTTCCCTGCGACCAACATCCAAAAATTATGGATAATTAATTTATAGAAAAAAATTAAATTAAAATTTCTAATTGTGGTTGCCCCTCAGCAGGTAATGTCCATCACTCCGAATATATATTTCGGACCTGAAATAAAGTCTGCTCATAAAAAACCATCAGCCCTTCGGAGGTGGCTTAGTATAAACTGTAGGTTTCTCCATTTGTTGGAAAAACATCAAGACGCAAAACCACAACTTGGAGGAGGAGCTCGGTGGAAAAACGCTTCAGCGATTAAAAAGCGCCAAGTATATATAATATTTAAACATACTCTTCTAGAGAGGTTGTTAACTGGGTTTGGGACCTTTCACATAGAAACCAGCTCCAAGGAACATTCGGGGTAAAAAGCTACAATTTCAACAGATTGCCGAACAACTTTCCATATGACGCTAATATATTCTCCATCATCAGTAATTTTATATACGGGAACTGTTGTACGGTATTTCAAGCTCCCAGCCTACAAACCCAGCTATTGGTTTTTGACAAGTTCAAAAGATGAGCTGCTACGAAGTGGATTGACGTGTCGACCAATACTCGTAGGGTGTGATAGTTGCCGAGAGTAAAAGGGGGAAATAGACGCATATGCAGATAAAAACAGAAATAAACAGAAATACGTTAGCATAAAGAGCTTAAGAAGCTCTCCCACAGAGGTAATGATCCAATATTTCTGTAAAAGATGAGGTGACTTGCTGAAATTCGCATGACCGGAGCAGATTGTTATAGAACTCAAGCGATTGATGTCCACAATATGGTAAATATGGGGAGAGAATACATATTCATCCTGCTGTGCTGAAGTAGAACACCAGGAGATGGCGAACCCGATACTCCAATCGATGATGATGGCGAAGAACTGACAAAGTGCACGCATCAGCTTCTTTGCAGAATATTGTCGGACGAAAGCATAACCGATAAATAGAACTTAATTGTGTCTGTGCCAATTTGCACAAGATAAGCCTACTTAAGATCGCATATGTCCGAATAATAAAGTCTGCAGTCAACAATCTAATTGCACCTTATCAATGTGGCTTCATTGACCAACTATCAACCATACAACAAATCTTGAAAAGACCCCGTGAAAATAGAATTTACACACACCTCCTCTTCTTTCATTTCAAAGGAAAACAAACTACCTCAGTGCTCCTATATATGGATGTGCTAACTGCGTACAGTTATACGGCTTTGTAAACTGACACCAAAAAAGGTTTCAGACAAAGTGACTCGTTCAATAGAGACTGTACCTTTTCTCGACTAGTTTATAAACGAAAGGTGTGGGTCTCGTAGTGAACAAGGACAAGACAAGACAATATCAGCATGTTCCTCTTGACAGTTCTAGCTAGGTCGTAGATAATTTCGCCTATCTTGGAACTAGCATTAACACCAACAGCAGTTTCACCCTTGAAGTCCAACGCATAATCTCTCTTGGCAATCTGTGCTATTTTATACTTACAAATATTCTCATAAACAAATACCAAACTCTACAGATGTCCCATCATTTTATGAAGCATTGAAGTTAGCATTAAATATTACCCTCTAGAACTGCAGTCGGTGGCCGCGGTAGCCGAGTGGTTAGCATTGCGTACTGTCATTCGGAAGGCTCAGGTTCAAATCTTGATGTCATACTAACATCCAAAAAGTTATAGAAAATTAATTTAATCAAAAAATTTAGCTAATTTTTCCGATTGCGGCCTCTCCTGAAATGAAATAAAGGTTCGTCCTAAAAAAAACCATCAGCCGTTCGAAGGCGGCTTAGTATAAACTGAAGGTCGCTCGACTTGTTTGAAAGACCACAGTTGATTAGAGGAGGAGCTCGGCCGAAAATCGCTTCAGCAGTTACAAAGCGCCAGCTATATAAATAGTGGTGCAGTCGGGGGAACGATTAACTGTCCGAGGTAAACGAAGACATTGACCTAGTTTAGCGAATCAGCAGACAGTGGTTACACAGTCTACGTCATGTTGTCCGATAACACTAAAATACTCCAGAAGAGGGCAAAACGCTTTATTACTGTCATTGCGAGTGCCTGGTCTTTAGCTGATTAGCATAATTTCTTTGATCATTTATCCACCCGCAGCCTTATGATAATGTGGATTATTAGATGAATATGAATGTTTTAAACAAATAGCTCGAATACTCAACGACTTTGATGAAATTGCTCGAGGTCAGGATCCCATCTTCCCCTTTCAACAAGCAGTCGTAGTAAGATTGCTTCATTGAATTAATTTAAAGTTAGTATCTTGAAAAAATGTTTACAAAAATTAAATTAACTGCCTCTCAATTCACAAATTTCATCGCCTAGTTCCCTCTCAACTGCCTAAGTTTTCGTTAGGAAAGCAAAAGAGCACCAAAAACTTAAGTTTCTTGCATGCGATCCTAAAAAAAGTGTTTCCGATGTTCCAAATTTATTTAAATGTAATAAAAATTTCTCAAATTACATTTTTTTCGTTGTAAGTGGCCACCTTTTTATTATTTATGTCTACATTAAATGAAAAGGAATATTAACGCTATTGTGGCGCTTACAATTGCCATACTAAAATGTTCGAAATGGAAATCAACTTTCATATTATCCATATTTAATTCCCTGAGTACTGCGGCCAACGGTATAGCCGAGGTTGAAGTCTTGTACTGTGCGCATGCCATTCATAAGATAATAACTTCATTTGCTTGTTGACACTTCCTTTTCACTTCTCAATAATATTTTTATTATGCGATATTGGCGGCCATTAATTTTTCATTATCTCTACTTGAATTTCCCATTTTCCACCTTACACTTAAATATATTTTCATATTTACTTCAGTTTTTTCTTTTTTTTTTGTAACTTTTACTGTTTCATCTTCTGATGTCATGAAATTAATAACTTTTCTCAATATTTTCTCACTTTTCTTTATTTTACGAAAATTACATAGTCGCATTAATGCGGTTTTTTCTTTTTATCTGTATAGAATTAAATTTATTAATATTCATTTTCATTTGTATTCTCTCATTGCAGAGTTCTGCATTGAATGAAAGCCAATTGGTTCTGGACTCAGTTACGGTCTCCACCACTAGTAAATACAGTTGTGAAGTGTTAGCCGATGCGCCATCATTTCACACAGAAATCTCAGCTGTTGATTTAGAAGTCGTTGGTAAGTGTCGATAGTTTTTGCAAATTTAATTTTTCAATACGAAAAAACGAGAAAAAAACACGAAACCTTTAACCTCGTGACCATTGAAAATTTTGTTTTCATTTGTATACTCGTATATGTACGTTTGCAGAATACCAAATCTCACGCTTGTAGATGGAGGTTTTTTAAGGATTTTGCACTAAAAACCTCATATTTGAACAAATCGTTTGCATGGGGTATACATAATATAATCATCCGAGTTTGATGGTTTTCGGTGAAATTGATTATTTTTAAGTGCGCATTAGAATACCAAACGGTGTCTTTACAGCCTCATATTGGAAAAATCGGTGTATAGGGCATACAGGCCCTCTATCTATTTCAATAATTTTCAGTACCATTGTGCAGAGTTTGACGTGGTCGTTATACATATTAATAGATCTATCGCTTCTCCTTCTAATATTTATATATTGTCTTTTCGGACTAAAGTTAATTTATTTCATATACAAGAGAGGTAATGGGGTACAAATTGAATTGGTTTGTCCATCAGCATCTGATTTTCTTTTTTACCTCTTCTACTCTGTATTGAAAACATAATTCAAGCAATATTTTGGTTTGAAATGTTAATTGGAAGTAAACTGCAGCTACCGATATGTCATGCAGATAGTAGTCTTTTGATCCTTTGAAAGTGGTGAATCTAGCATCAAAGACAAAATATCCCAGTGGGACCAGAGGTGTGGTGTACTATGAGCTTCTGAAACCATTGCTTCTTCCGACTACTCACCATTTGGGTGATCACCGGTTTGAATCTTTCAAAGAAATCGAAGAATAGCATTCAGCCTAATTGGATCAAGGGTAGATGAGACCAATTTTTTAAATATTGAAAAATTGCCAGAGAGATGGGAAAAGGTCCTTACTTTTTTCAATAAAAAAATACTTTTATGTACCCAAAAATGGACCGAATTTATTTTAAATGTTTTTGTGAACTCATTAAAGGAAGAATATTTTAACTAAAATTTCGTGCATATATTTTCTACAAGATTTAAAAAAAAAATTTTATTTCAATTTTTATTAAAATGCTTCTAGATTTGTAATAATCTTCATTTTTTCAGATATGTTTCTTTTGATAGCTTCCAGAGTTAGAGGCATAAAACACGATAACGTTCATCTATTATGAATAGAACCTTGATAGTTAAACTGTTCGATATTGCTATATCTATATAAGGCATTGTTATTTTGGCTAATAGTTTTCATTTTCAACTAACTTTTCTGATATTTTGAATAAAATAAATTTTCATTTCCCGACGGCTTCACTAAAGGAGATTTTGCCCAAGATATTTTTAAGTTTCCCTAGACTTCTTAGCTAAACTTCTTCTACACGTGCAGTCAAATAAACTGTCAGCTCATAATGATACATATACAAATAAGCAAAAAGCAAGGCTACATCGTAATGATAAATATCACATTAACCGAAAAGTTTCTATCTTTTTGTTGAATTGGAAATATTAACTTTAAGAGGCACACCAAGGGTAATGACCTAAGTAAAAAGGTGATCTTTGGGAACTTTTATTAAAAAAATACTTTATCAATTATTTCAGGAATATACAGTGAAATTTTTGAAGGAAAAAATTATATATTTATATATTTTGAAAGTTATAGTCGATCTACAACGGCGCGAAAAAAAAGGCCCTTCACTGCTGCAGTGATTCCGGCCTTCTCCGTGGATGAAATCTAAAAAAAATAAATTATCGTTAAACTATTGTAGATAATATTGTCTGTATAAAGACCTACGATAAAAACAAATCAAAAATTGACAATATGGTGGCGTTTTAAGAAAATAGTCGAGTTTTACCCAAAATTTTGGTTGTTTTTGGCCTGCCAAAATTCGATTTTTTGATCAGATCAAAAATCGAAAGGTCATTGTACGGAGAACTTTATATAGAATATGTAAAAAAAAAATCGATAGTGATCTGATAGTGACTGTTTCGAGAAAAACGCTTTTAAGGATAAAATGATCGTTTTCACTCGTAGCTAATGAGTTTCTCTAGCTGCTGAGCGGCTGCTTTTTAAATTGCTATAACTCAAAAACTATTTTATATATCGATTTGAAATTTTAATATGTTATTTTTAAAGGTGCAATCTACCGGAATGTAGAAAAAGATCGATTTTCTTGAAATTTCACACAAGGTGTGCCGCTTAAAGCAGTTGTCAGGATAAATTTCTTTTTCTCTTTACCCGAAACGAAAGCTGTCGATAATGTTATATCAATAACAGATAGTGCTAAGTCACTTACAGATAAAATTAAACGTTAACAGATAATGTAGAACGTTAACAGATAATGTTAAAAGTTAAAATTAAAGTATGCTATTAATTCATAGCAGGCAACCATTTTAAAATTAATGTTAACGCTTAGTTCTGTGCGGTTTCAACATCAACAATTTCATTTTGTTTCGATGACTGGGTGCCGAAGTGGCTCAAAATATTTTCATTAATTGAGCATTCTGGTTAAAGCAATAAAAAAGTTCACTTTTTTCAAGCTAGTTCAGTGTTATTATTAATTCCTTGTTATCAAAAATTACTAAATTTTTTTTTTTTTGTTATTTTTGTTTTAGGAATCTTTGAATGTGGGTTGAACGAGGACCCGAACAATAAGTCTCAGAATGGCAGTACGTAGTTCTAACCTCCCGACTATCGCAGCCGAAATAAATAAAAATAACGAATAGGAAATGTTAGTTATGTATAATTTATCAATGTGAAAATAGTGCTGCACCTCCCGCAAATGTACCTTTTTATTTAAGTATAACTGATACGTAAGGCACTAACTTATTTAGCATTAAGAGCTGCAGGTCCTACATGGGGTATTACAGTGGAGTAGTTTCAATTCAGTACTCCATGAGTTCTTCATGGATTACTCGGATATTATGTAGAGATGGGACATCGCAATACAAATTGGAACATATTTTATGTATGAATTGTGGTTACTTCTGGATTACTCTATCACCAGCGTAGAATATATGTTTCATGCGGGCATTGAGTAGTCACGTTGTGCGCAAGAAAATAGCTCGCAAATATAACCCACAAAATCGAGTATATGCTCAGTCAATGAAATACTATACTATTTTTCGGCAACGTGCTGAGTAACTTAGGCACTTCAATATTGCATAATGCAAGGAGCAAAAGCAATCAAGCAATATACTTGGGAAACATTATAAATAATAAGCGCTACCGCCAACGCCTCTTAAAGCAAAGGAACTGCATAAAAAGTTAGTCATATAATTACACATGCATACATATATCCATATACAAAAATGTGTAACTGAATATAGCTGAATTCAAAAACGATCAACGCCAACTGTCGCTCCATCATTTAGTCATGGCAACATTCGTTTCAAATTAACCATTTGCGACGGTAAAAGCCAAAAAAATTTCACAAGAACTGAAAAAATTCCAAAAAAAAAAATATTGTATGAAAATTTATTTGAATGAAAAGGAAATTGAAAAAACATGGATGTAGCAAGAAAGGCCCGGCGTGCAGATATGTTTGTATGTATTTCATATGCAGCCATAAATAGAGAAATTTCATGAAAATAAACTTAAGACACTTGACAATATCGAAGGACTCTTGGAGGGGGGTGGTAAGAAGCGCAGAATACTATCGTTTGGACAATGGTAGGGGTCAGTGGCGCCAGACAAGCATTGATTTGACGCCGATGTAAACATATTCGTCTATCTAAATTACTACACACTCGCTTGCATACCCACATATTTGGCCTGCATTATGCCCGTATTGTGAGACAACAAGCAATGGTAACTAAGTGAACATAAAAACCAACTAACAGAAAAGAGAGAAGCCCAGCTATAAATGAACCGAACGAAAAGCAGAAAAAAATTTCGGACATAAAGATGAATGCACATCAGGCCAAAATTGGGTAAAATTTTGCAATGCCAAAAGTATAGTGGGAGATAGTTGGAGCGATAAAGGTATTGAAGTAGCCCAAAACAAGATCCATAAAAACAGCCAAAGTTCGTCTACAAAAGTGTAAAAGGAAATAAAAAAAAACTGTTTTTTAGAGTGTCGCAACGAAATGTAGGCGCCGAGCCGAGTTATGTGAGGACACAAAAAACACTATTTGGCTCAGCGGTTATTCAGTTTTCGCCAATTGTAGCAGGAGAAATATTAGTACAGTTTCGTGGAGAAACGCGGGACTAAAATTCAAAATTTTATAAAATTTATACTAAAATCATTTTTTTTCTAATTGCAACTGCCCTTCAGCAAGTAGTATTCACTATTCTAGTATATTTAATTTAAAAATAAATACAAATAAGGAGCATTGTAGTATTCCTTGAATGTAATTTAATATTCAAAAATAAGTTAAAAAATCTAGAATTGTATTTTGCGTCGGATGACATAAGACTTCATCGACCATATATCTTTCATGGTCATTGTATTGGAAATATAGGAAATTTTATAACAGTATCAAGCGAAGAGGGATTGACCCACCCAAATTTAATTTCATGGAAATGAAGACATGAGTAGGTTGCGATATATCTGCCAGTGTGTTTAAAATTAAACTAGTCAATAAGTTTCAAAGTTATTTAAGGATTTTTTTTAAAAAGTTGTTTACATATTTCCCAGTATTTCTAATATCAAAAATTAGGCATTTCGAAAAAAAATTTGAAAAGATTCAACTCTCAAATAAAAATATCTTCCTTTCCTCACCTTAAGACAACCGCTTGAAGCCAATATTTCGTATAGACCTATGACCTTTCCATATGTACATGCTTTTAACTGTATTATATAAAACATAGTTAATGTATAGAAAATAATCCCAATAATAATTGAAAAATCTTCGAGTTGAATACCTTACACATACATAAGTGGCAAGATCAAATAATTCTGAGAAAACATGTTTAGTGTAAAAAATTCGGAAGTTAAACTACCTTATCGAAAATTTTATATTGAAAAGGGTGAACCATCTCGAAGTTCCCTATGTTTTAAAAGAAAAAAGCACAGGGAGTTCTAA